ACTTAAGCAAATTCCACAGTGGTGAAACCTGAATTTAGATAAATGACTCAGTGTTGACAATATTAATATGGTTCCTTTGCTGTAAAGTAAATGAAATTATTCCTTTATGCTGTTAGCTCGAGTAAAGAGTAAAAAGATTTCTAAAAAAATATCTAGAAATTTGTAAACAACACATTTATATCTTTTAATTTAGGAAGTGGTCTTAAAACATATAAATTTATGACTGATATGACCAAATTTAAGGGAAAAGCTAAATGATATCCTGCAAACATAGCTATGAAATAAAACTATGGCACTTTACTAAGTAAGAAAAGTGTGTAATGCTATTTAACAGAGTAGTTTATATATGCCTTTTGCCACTATCCTACGATTTTTTGCTTAATTTTTTCCCTTTGTTAACTAGGATTATTTTATAATTAATCCTCCTAGGTAATAGATACCACCCAGTATTTATTACAACACATGAGTTGTGTTCATTCACAAAACAATTTGTTAAGATGGGGGTGTGTCTTACTAAGAAAGAACATATTTTCTTGACTTTAAACCTATGGGACAGGGGGATATAGATTGTATTCTCCATATTTAGTTTTAGAGATCAGTCTGGTTAAGTACAATACCATGAATTTAGAAGTCTGTACTAGGAACATTTTTCAAATACATTTTTTATATTTCAAATGTAATGCACTGCATTTTTATTTGAACAATAAAAAAGAACCCGTAATCTTTTGAGACCATGCAGGTCTTTTTTCCCCCCCTTTATGAAAGTATACAGTATGTGTAATTGCAGACTACATAATGTATTTTTCATTCTTAAAGAAGTGACTTAACTCTTGGAAATTATATTTGGGTTAGATCACACCTCAAATACCGAAATAATTAATATCCCAGTTGTGTTATCTTTGTATACCAAACATTCTATTTTAAAGATGATTTTGGTTACCAGTGCCAACAGAATTCCCTTTTCACAAGTTTTCAACATTATCAACATTTTCAGAAAAACTGATTTTAGTATTCATGTTAAAGATATTTTCCCCTTTTATTTACTGTTATTGTAAAACTAAGTTATTTTATTAGTAGTTGAAAATCAACTTTTTGCTGAATTACTATACTTAAGGTTATTTTCTTCTCAGGAAATAAACGGTGGGGTCAGTAGTTTACTGACTGATCCTGTCTTGTTCTTCATGAAAATATTACACCATCTTTCTTTTGACACAAATGACCTAAATATACATTTGATAAAAATTATTTTGCACACCATATTATTCACTTCATCTTTCAAACAGTATAAAGTAATTAAAGAGGGAAATTGAAAATCAGAAAACTTCTTCAGAGCCTCTGTTTATTTCAACTATTTTTCACGTTGAGTTTTTCAGAAACTTATTCCTGCAGATCTGGCAATACAGAACTTTTGCAGTGCCCAGTAGTGTAATGTACATTTCAGAAAGCAGAGGCCACTGTGTTATCCACCGTATTGGCCTGTGAAAGATGTGGGAGGAGACAGCGGGGAAACCTGTATACATCCCACTGATAACTTGCTTCAGCAAGTCCCAATACTTAATTTAACTGGAGCTATTTCCAGGTGATGAATTTAGGATGAGAGCTTCATTAGTGCTTTAATATGCCTTAAGTGTGTTACATGCCTTGATTACAGAATACTGTCACTTGTATTTTGGGTGAGTGAAGTGTGTGCAAGTGTGGCTTGACATAAATAAGAGTTCTGTAATGTGGCAATGGGAATACATGACTAATAGATGTGTTATAAGATGTTTCATATTTGACTTCTACATTTAAGTGCATTCATTACTTTTGAAAGGTAAAAGCCAATTTTGCATACTCAGTGCTTAAGAACCATAATAAGAAAGATGAGGGGATGTTTTTCTCTTAAAACTTTTTTTAATGTTTTTTTTTTTTTTTTTTTTTTTTTGAGGGAGGGAGAGAGAAAGAGAACGAGCAGAGGAAGGGCGGAGAGATAGGGAGACACAATCTGAAGTAGGCTATAGGCTTTGAGTTGTCAGCACAGAGCCCGACGCAGGGCTTGAACTCACAAGCTGTAAGATCATGACCTGAACTGAAGTCAGACTCTTAACTGATTGAGCCACCCAGGTGCCCCCAAGATGTTTTTCGACAAAGACAGATGACAAGCTAATTTTACATTATGTAGCTTTGGTTTTAAAATGCAATGCATTAAATAAGTAGGAAAAAAATTCAACTTCTATCTGCTTCCGAGAGGTCATTTTAACAATTGCTCATGAAAACAATTTATCTTTTAAAGGTTCTTTTGTCAAACATTTCAGAAGGCATATTTGAGAAATGAGAAAAGTACATATACAGAGTTTATATGTGTAAATAGCCTATATTCAAATTTTGAGCCCACTCCTGTGTTTAGCACTGATGGGTAAGAATTTCAGAAACTGCAGAAAGAAAAACTTTGTTTTTAAGAAGCTTAAAGTTAAAAAAAAATTGTGACATAGTAAAGACAAGAATAAGCTAATTATAAATGGTGAACTTTGAAAAAATGTTCTGGTATGTTGTGCAACTTCATTTGCAGAGTTAGAGTTGACAAGATTTCAGTTGGTTTGTTAGGTGTTTGTATGGTCATTTCATACTGTGCTCTGCAACTCAAAAGATACAAGTTACCACAGTGTTGGATAACCAGTACATACATACACATTAGTGCTAACACTCTAATATTTGGCTTTTTAATTTTTTTTAAAGTTTTTTTTAAAGTAATCTCTACACCCAATGTGGGGCTTGAACCTACAACCCCGAGAGCAAGAGTCGTATACTCCACCGACTAAGCCAGTCAGGTACTCCTGTGCTGGACTTCATAACTGACAAATACTTCCCCCCAGCCCAACATTCTTTATCAAGTAGATAAGTTTTGATCACCCCAATAAGAAACGAATGTTAATATATATGAAATTAGTAGAAAATATTCATAAATTTTTATTTAGATCACAATATTGAAACTTACAGTAACAGTACTTTAAAATGAGAATATAATATGTGATCCCAATATGTATCAGACAAGGTGGACCTCAACAACTCCGTGTCTCCTGGATTTTAAAAGGTCAACAGTCCCTAGGCTTAAGTGCTACTGGGGAAGGGCCAATCTCCAGTGACATCAGTTCTCTGGAAGGAGAGGAATGAAGCAGCATAGAATTTGCTTCTAACTCCCCACAATCTTTAGGTGAAGATATTTCCATTTAAAATTCATTTCCACTTAAAATCAGTAGTGAGTAGCAACCAGTTGTTTCTTCTTTCACTTAACAGATAGATTGGTACCTTTTCTTTTTCTCTTACAAAGAAACATCTAGGGGTGCCTTGGTGGCTCAGTCAGTTAAGCATCCAAGTTGGGCTCAAGTAATGATCGCCCAGTTTGTTGAGTTTGAGCCCCACATCCCCCGTTCTGTGCTGACAGTGTGGAGCCTGCTTGGGATTCTCTCTCTCTCCCTCTGCCCCATCCGCACTCTGTCAAAATAAATAAACTTAAGTTAAAAAAAAACAAAAGGAACATGTACATACAGTATAAATTGAGATTTGTGTGTTGAAACATTTCCAAATTCATTCCAAATTCCCCCAACATTTGTTGGAGGCTTGTTTTAACCAACATTTTACTCTGCACAGCACAATTTGGGCTCTAGGTCTAGGTGTAACTTCTCTGTGAGTAAACTCCTTCACGTCATTCCAGTTTGTGTTACTCTGTTGTCAGGAACACAAAACTAAGAACTAGTCCCTGCAGATTTGGCGTATTCATTTTAACACGAAGACACAATGTAACTGTTCAGGCTCTTGAACGTTTGTATAGGATACAAGTAAACTCTAGTAAAGAATACACCGTGCTGCCAGTGATAACCCTTCTTTAAAAGGTAATCAGACTTGCATAGGAGCACATGTACCCCAATGTTCATAGCAGCACTCTCAACAATAGTCAAAACATGGAAAGACTCTAAGTGTCCATCAACGGACGAATGGATCAAGAAGATGTGGTTTATCTATACCATGGAATACTACATGGCAATGAAAAAGAATGAAATCTGGCCATGTGTAGCAACATGGATGGACCTTGAGGGTGTTATGCTGAGCGAAATAAGTCAGGCAGAGAAGGACAAATACCATATGTTTGCACGTATAGGAGGATTAGGAGGAACTTGACGGAGGACCATGGGGGAGAAGAAGGGGGAAAATGGTGGGGGAAAGGGAGAGAGGCAAACCATGAGAGACTCTTGAATGCTGAGAACTAAGGACTGATGGATGTGGGTGGGAGGGGGGATGGGCATGGAGGAGGGCACTTGTGGGGATGAGCACTGGGTGTTATATGGAAACCAAATTGACAATAAACTATTTGTAAAAAAAAAAAAAAAAAAGGTAATCAGACTGTCTTAATAAAGTTTTGCTCTTTATAATGGAAGATAAAACACAGAAGGACACTCAGTTTGCAGTTGGGCTTGAAAATGTGAACTGGAACAGATAAGCCAATCAAACCTTTATACCACAGAGAGAACCATGCCTAGTACGGAATGGATGCTCATTAAAACTCAGGGTCAGCCAGAAACACACGCCTTTCTCCAAACAGGCATTTCAACAGTGTGTTGACTCTGGCAGTATAACCTATTTCAACCTGTAGCCAAAGCAATCAGTTTGCCCGTAAAGAGGTGGGGGACTATCCGCTCTGGTCGCAAAAACCAACCACCCAGTTTGTCCACTACAAACCACAATCAGTTTTAAAGTGAAAAAGAATGGAAAGGCACACGCCTCAGACCGACTTAAAAAGCGAGGGCTCCGAGAGGCTGCCCTGTCCCGCCCAGGGCAGCAGATCCCGCCCCTGTCTCCGCAATTCCGGTCCGGCCTCTGAGGAGCTCCAAGCCAGCAGCGGGAAAGTTTTGTGTCTGCGCACTAAGCCCGCCCAGTGCCGCGTGGGAAAGGCGGGACTTTCCTACGTCCTGCGTCATCGCCAGTGCGACGCAAGACGTCACCGGCTTGAACGGGAAGGTCAATAGTAGTGCAATGACGGTGCGCGCCGTTTTTCGCTTGGGTTTCCGGCGCGTGCGTGCTGCTGTCTAGGCGCAGCGGAGCGGAGCCCGACTGTAGCGTGTGATGCCAGTGTTTTAGCTCAGCCCGGCGCAGACATGCTGTGCCGGCTTGGCGGCAGGTGGCTGCGGCCGCTCCCCGCGCCGCAGTTCGCAGTCCGGGTCCCGCCGCTTGCGCCAGCCTCAACGGTCGGCATGAAGCACTCTGCACTGCCCACTTGGGCGGTGGCGTCAGTCTCTGCAGTTGGCTCCGGCGGCCCTGGCAGCTGGTACGAGGCCCTGGCCGCGTCGACGCCGGTGCAGGGCGCGGAGCAGGTGCTACTCGGCGTGCACAGCGCCACAGGTCTGCCCTGGTGGGCCTGCATCGCCCTCACCACCGTGGCTCTGCGCGGCGCCGTCACTCTACCCCTGGCCGCCTACCAGCACTACATCCTGGCCAAGGTGAGCGGCACCTGCACCCCGCGCATCCGCTTCGGCGTGAAGGGTGGCAGACGTCTCTACCGGGGGCCGAAAATCTTAGGCTGCTTCCGGAGTGCTTAGTGTGAACCCTCGTGACCACTTCCTTGCTACGAAACTTAACTAGCGTTGGGATATGGGATTAACAGATGTCTGGTAATGCGTGCACTTGTCGTTCGTTTACCCTACTGGGTTTCTGCTCCAAGCCCAAGTAGTTGCTGCTGCTTGCTGCTAAACAATGAGAGAAGTATAGGAATTAGTAGCAGAAGTTGTGTGGAGAAACCTGTAAAATTGCCGTCTTAAAGGTTGTCATAGCCTATATGCCAGCAGCATCTTTTGTCCAGGACTATTTCAATTCACCTTTTTAGAAAACTGCCAAGCTAGCCGTTTGCAGACTTGATTCCTTATTCAGGCCGTGCTACCTACAACTCTGGTTAGTTACAGCCACTTGGCCTTCAGTGCTTCCTTACTTTATCTGTGGATTCAGGATAGTAATACCTTCGTGGCCTGTTTCGCAATGTTATGGTATCAAATCACATACTGTGGGTTAAAGTGCTTTGAAAGCTAAATATTATTCAAATGTGAGACTTCAAAAATAATGGCTTACATGTTTTCAAATAATTATTGGGGATGGGGGGGCCCAGAAAGGGAATCATCAGCACCATTAAGACAGTGATGTCCATGGGTCGCCTGGGTGGCTTAGTCGGTTGAGCGTCCGACTTTCGCTTAGGTCATGATCTCGCGGTTCGTAGGTTCGAGCCCCGCGTTGGGCTCTGTGCTGACTGCCAGCCCAGAGCCTGGAGCCTGTTTCAGAGTCTGTGACTCCCTCTCTCTCTGACTCTCCCCTGCTCACGCTGTCTCTCTCTCTCTCTCTCTCTCTCCTAGAAATAAATAAAACATTAAAAAAAAAAAAAAAGACAGTGATGTCCTTTACAGAAATAACACAGAGCGGGAATAAATACAAACCTTTTATGGCTCTGTGACTGTCACGGAGCATATTAAAGACTCTTAATTAATAGACTTGTTTTCTCAGTTTACCTTACTAGGAAATCCAGGGATGAAACATTAAAGTATAGGATTCAGTTCTTATTTAATCCTTATAATAATTCTGTGAAGTAGGTGCTGTTAAACATTTTATATATAAGGGGACAGAGTTTTAGAGCCTAAGTCACTTGGCCAAAATCACATAGCTAAGAGTATGAGTTGGAATTTGAATTTGGTTGTAACTGAAGATTATCTTAAGCAAATTAACGTCTTATGCTTAGACTTAAATTTTCTTGAGATGATCAGTAAATCACATTTCTCAGCGAGTCAGAGGAGTATTATGAGTGGTTATGAATAAGATCCTTTATGTGCTCATAACAAATTCTACTTTTTCTTTAGCTAGGTGGAAAATTTGCAGCCAGAAATAAAAAACATTGCAAGGCATCTTAACCAAGAAATTGCAGTTCGTGCAAATCAGTTGAAATGGTCCAAAAGAGTTGCCAGGTGAGCTAATTGTATGCATATAGACCGTACGTATGTATGTATCTGTGTATGTGTGTGTGTAGGTATATGTATATACATATACACACTCGCACACACTGTGTCTGTAATTATATTAATCATGGGTTTGGGTATTCTGTAGCTTTAGCAGCAAAGTAGTTCTTTGACTCTTTAATATTTTAATGTTTGTGTGGTATGATAGTTGTATATAGTGGACTGAAAAGCAAGAAGTAGAGAAACAAAGAGCAAGTTCCTTCTTGAGGGAAGGTGCTGCAGGTGCTGTGCTAGTCTGTTGGAATTTTAGTCAGCAAATGATACAGATTATTTACACACTTGACCGTTTTGGAAAGAACGGTACAGCAGACCATAGCCCACAAGAAAGGGGAGGCAGAAAATGTGAATGCCATGGTAGAAGAAATTTAGATAGCTAAGGTGCTGTCTGTCCTCTCTGGTTACCCTGTGTAGTTGTCTGCCTGGGCTCTTAGCCCTTAGAAAGTGCTTGACTCTGTGCAATTCTATGCCTGCACTCTATCACTGGGAACTTCTAAGCCCTGCTTCAGCCTAAGTTACTACTTAGTCAAATTCTGGTCCTTACTAGACTAAGTGTTCACCAGTTCACAGCAGTGAGAAAAATAAGGGCTTTTATTATGAGTATATGAGGTATATATGGTTGTCCGTATATTTTTACCTATATAGGTATACATTGCTCACTGTCTTCAATATGAAATTGCTTCCCTCTTCACTTAGTGTTGAAATTTGAAAAGACCTGACACTTATTTTTATTTGAGAACGAGCAAGTGCAAGCAGGAGAGAGGGGCAGAGGGAGAGAGGGAGAATCTCAAGCAGGCTCCACACTCAGCGCAGAGTCCAACTCGGGGCTCGATCCTGCACCCCTGGGGTCATGACTTGAGCTGAAATCAGGAACCAGATGTTCAACTGACTGAGCCACCCATGCACCACAGAAAGACCCGACATTTAAAAAAATCAGTGTGGTAGCTTAATATCTTTTTTAACAGTGTTTAAGTTTTATTGATCAGAGAAATCTAAGAATGACAACTCTAGGCCACAATAACAGATTCATAGCTGCTCATCTGAATTGTAAATACAGCCTAGACAAAACTGACACCTTACTTGCAGCACTGGTCGAACAATTGTCCAGATACATCCTTACACAGATAGATGACTTTCTAGGAAGACACGTCTGAGGGCTTCCTGCATTTTCAATGGAACTGAATCTTGAAGGGTAAAAGTGAGTTTGCCAGGTGGATAGCTAGGTAAGTGGACTGTCCACGTAGATGATTTAATGATTTCCAAAAATACGCTGATGTAGAAGTCTGATTTATTGGATAGCCTGTGTCATTTAGGCTCCGGAATATACAGTTGTCTGTAGAAGAGTTGGAAAAGTAGGTAGAATCTAAATTACAAAGCTTGGAATGTCTGTGTGCTGTCTTAATGCAATAATACACTATAATTCTATTATCTTCAAGCCTATTAAATGTCTACCTTGTACAAAACATGCTACAAGAATTCAGAGATGAATAAGACCCAGCAGTTGACCTTCAAGGAAACTATAATCTAAAAAGTGGGACTTAAGACAAGAGCAGGAATAACTAATAGGATTAACAGAGAAACATTAAGAAAATCTTCATGAAAGAATGGATTGAAGAACAGAGACCATTTTATTTTTTATTTTTTTTAACTTCATTCCCTACCCCATCTTCTATTTATTTATTTATTTATTTATTTATTTATTTATTTATTTATTTCTAGGAGAGAGAGAGAGAGACAGCGTGAGCAGGGGAGGGTCAGAGAGAGAGGGAGTCATAGACTGAAACAGGCTCCAGGCTCTGAGCTGGCAGTTAGCACAGAGCCCGACGCGGGGCTTGAACCCACGAACCGCGAGATCATGACCTAAGCGAAAGTCGGACGCCCAACCGACTAAGCCACCCAGGCGCCCCAGAGAGACCATTTTAATAGGTCAAGAGCATACATGTTACAGAACTACATTTCTATAAGAGGTATATTCAGGGATCAGGTAATTGAGCTTGCCTGGAACTGAGGGATTTGAGTTAAATGTGCCTTCGTGTTTAGAATTTCTGGTACAGACTGTGGTCCTACCACGTCAGTAGTGAAATTTCACTTGTTAAAACCTAATTGGCCAAAGACCATCAGAGACAAAGCTTCTAATCTGACAATGTCAGATTTATCAGATTGTTATATAATTTGTGTACATTGTTACAGAATTTTCAGTAAAAGGCTCTATTTGCCTTTTTTTAGGCAACCCCTTAATATAGCCTATGAGAAGTAACAATCCTTTTTTTTTTTTTTTAATATTTTTTTAATGTTTATTTTTGAGAGATAGAGCATGAATGGGGGAAGGGCAAACAGAGAGGGAGACACAGAATCCAAAGGAGGCTCCGGGCTCTGAGCTAGCTGTCAGCACAGAGCCCGATGCAAGGCTCAAACCCACAAATCGCGAGGTCATGACCTGAGCTGAAGTCGGACACTCAACTGACTGAGCCACCCAGGCGCCCTGAGAACTAACAATCCTGCACAGCATTTTAGCTAATAACCACAACATGAGTGTGTTTGTGCTATGGGTATGAAGTACTCTTCCTCAAATGACATTTTTTCCTTTCCCTTTTTTCCCTCTTCCCTCAAACTAGACTCACTTATCTAAAGAATATGCGGAGGCTCGTTTCGGAGCTGTATGTTCGAGACAACTGCCACCCTTTCAAAGCCACCGTGTTGGTCTGGATTCAGTTTCCATTGTGGATCTTCGTGTCTGTTGCCCTCCGGAATTTTAGCACAGGGGCAACACATTCAGAAGGTAGTTATTCTAGAAGTCTCTTTTCCTCCAAATAAGTTCTCTAACATTGTTTTTGTATTCAAAAGGGAAAAACAAAGCAATAAACCATGAAAAATCCCTATACTTTTTGTAATTAGGATATTGTTACCATCTTTCTTACAAGGATATACGTTTAAAATATCAAGCAGAAGCAAGCTAGCCGTGTTGAGAAAACAAATGAATCTAGGAAGGACAATAGTAATAGAGTTGACCCTTGAAGAACACGGGTGTGAACTGGGCAGGTCCCCTTATAGGTGGGTTTTTTACAGTATGACACTGTAGATGTATTTTCTCTTCATTATGATTTTCTTGATGACATTTTCTTTTCTCTAGCTTTATTGTAAGAATTCAGTCTCTGATACTTGGGTTATCGGTAAAGCTTCCAGACAATAGGCTCTTGGTAGTAAAGTTCTTTGAGAGTCAAAAGTTTTACACAGATCTTCAGCTGCTCACAAGGTCAGTACCCCTAAGCCCTGAGTGATTTAAGGGTCAACTGTACTTCATAATAGATTTAATAATGAATTTAGCGTTAAACTAATAAATTTAGTGTTATAATTCCATAATTGAGTTTTCTGGCCAAGAATTTTTTCTGTTTATTAAAATTAAGAGGCCAGAAAAGTTTTCATAGTTATGAATGTAAACATTAATTAAGAAACAGTATAAACTAAAGCATATTTTTTTTACTTTCATTTAAAGGCATTTCTTATCAGAAAATAATGTGAACAGAAAGAAAGTAGCCTGTGGACAAATAATTATACAAATACAGGTCTGAGAAGAGTATTGCTACTATCCTTATGCTCCTACAGCTGTTTGCTACAGAGAGCTTCTTGCTTCTTGCTCAGCACAGGAAGGACTAGTTTATGTTGTGGAACAAAAACGAATGAAAGCAATATACATCTTCAGTGTGAAAGACCCATTATTTGAATTAGACTACCTATGTCTTGTGTATTTCCTCCTGCTACGTTTTATTTATAAAACTATTTTAGCAGGTTTTTCTGTTCAGGAACAGTTGGCTAATGATGGGGTCCTGTGGTTTCATGACCTCACTGCACTGGATTCCACTTGGATCCTGCCTGTCTCCGTTGGTGTCGTCAACTTATTAATAGTGGAGGTCAGTGGTTTTAAATGAGATTTGTTTGGCATTTAAATCATTGGGGCTTTTGTTGCTGTTGCAGCATTTGAATTGGTGGCGATAGCTCTGAGCTGGAATTGAGATTTCTTGGTTTCTGGTCATAGATCAGACACTGGCAAACTCTGTCTGTCTTAAGCCAGTTCCTTAATCTCTCTGGGGGCCAGAATGCTCATAATTAAAATGGAGGAGCTGAATTAGAACACTTCCAAAGTCTCTTTCACCTTTACACTGATATGAATCCAGTACATACAATTTTATGATCTGTTTTTGGTAAAGAGACTAATTAAGATGGTTATCAATATGACTTTATTCTTACAGTAGGTTGGCATTTTGTGTATATTTTTAAGATGTAAATTTGTAAACAGGAAACACAGTATCTGATAGTCATTTTTTAGCTGTGTGACCCTAGAAAAGTCAGAACTTAACATTATATGATAGAGTGGAGAAATACAGACCTATAAAATATGAATTGTCAACTGTGTCTTACCATAATCCCATGCTGCGTTACTTAGCAGTTTAGGGAAAGCAAGCTTTTAATTTTTGAGAAGCTGTTCTCAGACTTTGAGTAGAACATAGACTCTTTGAACTGTAAGAACCTTAGAAATGATCCTTAGAACCTCAGTTGAGATCTCACAGACCTGTCACTAGTCTCTGTTTGGGGAACCTAAAATGCCATCCTAAAATGAGGATGATACTCTAACGTCTTGGGTTAAAGTTTCTTGAGAAAAGACTCCATGTGTAGTCTAAGTGTGTTTTCCTAAGATTACCTAACAAAATCCTATGAGTGTAGTTGGTACTTAGTGAGTATTTGTTAGGACGAAAGAAGTGGTAAGCACAAGGTCACAGTGAATTAATGTCATTCCTTAGTCTTTCCTTTTAGTGACTAATGACTCGGTATATATAAGTTTAAAATTTTTATTTTTTTATTTTTTTAATTTTAGAGAGAGAGAGGGGGAGAGTGTGAACTGGGAAGAGGAGCAGGGGGAGGAAGAGGGGCAGGGGGAGAAAGAGAGAGTCTTACACAGGCTCAATGCTCCATGCAGAGCCCAGTGCAGGGCTTGACCCCATGATCCTGGGTTCTTGACCAGAGCTGAAATCAAGAGTCAGATGCTCAACTAACTGAGACACCCAGGCACCCTAAAAATTTATTCGTAATATACACCATGTGGCAGGTACTGTTGTAAGCAATTCACATGAATTAACTCACTTAATTCCTAGAATAATCCTATGATGTAGCTACTAATACTACCCTCATTTTAAGGTAGAGAAAGCGAGGCGCAGAAAGATTAAGTAACTTATTACAAAGTCATATAACCACTAAATGCAGGGCTGTTATGTGAATCTAGATAGTTTTGATCTAGAGTCTTTGCTCACAGTCATTACACTGTGCTGCCTCTTAAGTAAGTAATTCATAAATGATAACTGCTTTTCCTAGCCTGGTTCTTCCCCTTATTCCATGTAGCCATATCACATACCGTTGAGGTACCTTTTAAGTTCCCTCTTATGCCAGGCACCGTATGTAGGTGCCCAAACAAGGGTAGTGATTCATACATAGTACACATCTTGAAAGGACTTTTGGTCTTACAGCCTTTAATTTAAAAAACATTGACTTGTAAAGATTATGCTGTGATTCTCTTTAATATAGCTGAATCTTCTTGATTGCTGCTAATTAAAGGTCCATTTAATGATTCTGTATAATTATGTTTTTTAAAAACACAGGTGATCAACCATATACATTTTTCAGTGTTTGATTTTTTATTTTTTTGCTTCTATTAAAATATATGTAGTGGAGGTATGTTAAAAATCAGGTTGCATTTTAAAGCTTGTCTAATTTAATATGCTTAATAATCATGGTGTGTTTTTATATTCTACTCTCTCAGATTTTTGCTCTACAAAAACTTGGAATGTCTCGTTTTCAGACATATATTACATACTTTGTCCGTGCAGTATCAGTGCTGATGATTCCAGTTGCTGCGACAGTACCTTCAGTGAGTAAGCACCGGCATTGTGTGTAGTGTGCTAAATCCTCTCTGCGCGTAGCTTACACTGGCTAGGATTCTGCCTCTTCTTTTTTTTTTTCAATCTTGCACAGTACTATGAACATAGTATTTGCTTTGTTTAATTAGTTGAAATATTGAATTCCTTCTCTCTACATAGATGGGCCAAGGAAACAAAACTTCATGCCAAGTCCATGTTGGTTCATAAGTAATAATTATGTAACCTCATAGGAATGCAGTGGGATAGGTACACCTGTCCCCATTTATATGTCATTACTCGTATAGAAACAGAAAAAAATAGTTATGTTTGCAGTTATTTGATGTTTTCAGCCTTTGCTAATTTCCCAGTGATACTTTAGTGCAAAGAGGGCAAAAGTTGTATTAGGCATTATCTCTGTCTTTGCTCAGGACCAACACATAGACCATGAAGTAGACGTCATTTGTTGGTGGTATTTAGAGTTATATCTGCATATATCAAAGTATTTCATTATCCTAAGAATCTGAGATAGTATGTTTGCAGCATCAAAAATGTATTTTTAAAGCTGTCCCTTGGACATAATACTGTCATTAATCCTTTGTAAAATAAGTAAGTCTCCACATTTCTAAAGTAAATATAATGTCTGTGAGAACTAATGAAATAGCAACAAGTGCTTATTATGGTACTTCTCATGTAATAGTAATATTGTTGTTACATATCCTGTGAAAATAGAAGTCATTGCATTTCTAGGGAAAAAATTTTACCAGTTATAACCTGAGGAAACTCCCTGATAAAATAAGATAGGGGCAGTGGGTTTTCAATGAGGGATTGGGTTTGAAATGAGCAACAGAGATCTACAAAGCAATGTCTTAAATACCCAAAAGTTTATTTTCTCAAATAGAGGACATTCAGAGTGAGGAAGTTTGGGGAGAGCTGATGTAGCAGCTCCATGAAGATAGGAGAAACCCATCCGACTTTCTCTCTATGCTCCATCATCCACAGCCTGTAATTTCTATCTGTAAGGCCACGGGATAGTTATGATGGCTGCCAGAGCTTATCTTGCAGGAATAGTAAAAGGGTGCTTCAAGTGCAGTTAGCCTCTTGAAGGAGCCTTGCCAGAAGTCACACCAAACACCTGTGCTCATGTTAGAGTTACAGAGCACATCTAATTGCCGATGAAGCTAGGAAGTAGTACTTTTTTTTTTTTTTAGATGGTAGTATACCCAATTAAAAAGGAGACGTTTATTACTAAGGAAGTGGAATCGTTCTTAGTAGGCAGTTTGTTATCTACCATTCTTGGTTTCGGGGTAGTTTTTGTGTCCAGGATAAGTCAAATGATGAGGATGGCCAGTATTTATTTGATATTGACCTGTGCCAAGTACTGTGTTAAATGGCTTACATATTTTAGCTTCACATAATCCATCCAGTGTGCACTGAAGTGGGTGCTATTATAATCTCCACATTAGTGATGAGGAAATCGGCACAGAGAGGTTGAGTGAACTCATCCAAGGTCACTCATCTATTAAGTGATCCTTAACATCGCTTAAGTATCTCAGGCACATCCAGGCAGTTTGGCTCCTGCTCCAAACTACTGTGCTAATCTGCTTTGAGGATGTGTTACTTTCTGCCCTTAAATATTTACTTTGGAACAAATGCAGATGAGCCACCTACTGTGCGTACCAGTCTCTGTAAGTTCTCTCATTTTTTCCTCCCAGCAACCTTCTGAGGTAGATATAGTTCAGTTCCCATTTTATAGACGAGGAAACTGAAACAGAAGGAAAACAACTCCCCCAAAGTCAAATAAATGGGATTCAGAATCAGGCAGTTCCACTCTGGGACCTGGACTCAGCCACCAGAGGGTCATGCCCCTGGGGCCTGATCAGATTCTGATGCCAAAGAAAAGTTTGGAACAGGGTTGTATGTATGGGAATACTTTGGGAAGCTACAGAACTTAATCATTGTCCTAAATAAATCACCCTGGATGGCAGTATAAGAGAAAGTGGAAGAGAAGACTGTCTCTGACAGAGGCTAAGATACTACATTCCTGACTAACTAAGAAACTGGTTACTGGGAAAATTTTGGATGATAGATCACTGTGTGGAGGAAAACGGGATCCAGGGACCCTGAATGGCTATGCCCCGCCAGTACCCTGTCTCCAGTACAGCAGCTTGTCAGGACTCTGGTTGGGGGAAAAGAGTGCTTAATTGTCAAAGAGGGGAGGTGATGTCTCCTGCAAGTCTCTGCCTGGGAGCTGCTCTCTGTCCTCCACTTTCTATCATGAAACCTCTCCTTTTGCTTTTTCACGTTTTTGTCCTTTCAGCCTCCTTTCTTAACTTACTTATTAGATTCATTACAGGTATCTAATAGCTGCTGCATGTCTTGTTCAATCCTGGTACACTGCTATTTATAGAGATTGTAACTTTCCTTTTTTATTGCCCGCCTGTCTCTGGACGTCGGTGTCCTTGGAGAATGGAGAAGCACTCACATTCATGTCCTTTCTTCTCTTACAGTCGATTGTCCTCTACTGGTTGTGCTCCAGCTTCATGGGCCTTTCACAGAACTTGCTGCTGCGTTCTCCTAAGTTTCGCCGACTTTGCCGAATACCGTTGACCAAGTCAGATTCAGACACTCCTTATAAGGACCTCTTTGCTGCCTTTTACGCCAAGTTCATTTTAAGAAAATGATAGGCTTCCTAGTATTTTGAGACAATTGGAAGTGTAACTATCACAATACATTTAGGTTTAGAAATTCAGATGTGATTTGTCTTTATTTAAAATCATGAATTGTGTGAAGTACTATGGGTTAAGATATAATCAAAAGTAGATTCAAAAGGTCTGGTTCTGCTTGTAAAATTACAACTTGCTAGAGGTGTCAGAACTTTAGAAAACAGGATTAGACACTGAATGATGTCAAATTATACTGACTAATCTCATACATTAAAGTTTTATAAAGTAAGAAAATCCAGTGAGGTGATTCTTAGAATTTTGGAGGTGTGGAGGACCATAGATCTGTTTGCACATCGGCTAAAGCTGTGGTTTTCTTTTCAGAGAAATCCTGGGCCTCACAATACGGGGCCTTCATTGACAACCCCCCTTCCTCCACCCCAAGGCTTTCTAGTGATTTCCTGGTTGAGAACTCTTATTTCCATAGGACACACAATGATGGGTTAATGTGTGACTTTTAAAAAATGAACAAAAGACACATGCAGTAGAGTAGTCCATGCAAGAAAGTACCTAATATGGGAGGTGATCCTGCCTTACAGCCTGCTCTGAAAGAGTACAAGACAGGTACATTCCTTTTTCTGTAACTTAAGAAGTCTGGAATAGAGTATAGCATTAAGTATTGCTAGAGCCCAAAGTGGAAAATCTTAAGCATTAAGTTTATTTAGTCAAAGGAAGAAAACTGGAATGGCAGCTACTTATTGTGGATGTGATTTTATAAACTTCTTTATTTGGAAGATTAAGTATTCAAATGGGTTTCTTATGGTAGACGTTTAATACAAGCAAAATTAACAGGTAATATAAATTGTGGATCTAGTTGTTTGCTTGTTTGATTTGAAAGGAGGAAAAGATTAATTGTGGAATAATTTGACATTTAAGAAGGTGATAAATTTTAAGTTTTCATTGAGTTGGAATACAAATACGATCTGAGATGCCCTATCATCCCATTTTCTGTTTTACAATAAAGTAAAAACTAAAGCAAAATCAATCCTTTTTTGAATAATGTCTATTACATCTTAGCCGTTTTGATTGCCACCTCATTGAGAATTTAGAGGTAGCAGTTAGGACCTGGTTCTCTTTTCTGACTTCCCAGTCCTGGGTTGTGACGTCTTTCTAATCATAGTGAAGGCATTGAGATATACGTACAGTCAATCCCCGTTATTCACAGATTTTGTATTTGCCAATTTGCCTACTCGCTAAAACTTATTTGTGACCCTCAAATCAGTACAGTTTTTTTGATGTCATTCTTGGATAGACACAGAGTGGCAAAAAAATGGAGTCATTCAAGGTCCGTGTTCCCAGCTAGGTCAGACAAGGCAGCACTGTGCTGTCTTGTTTCAGCTTTCATACTATTATAACCAAGTGTCCCTCACATGTTCTATTCAGTGCCATTTTTTTCTCATTTTTGTGCTTTTTGTTGGTGATTCTGCTGTTTAAAATGTCCTCCAAGTGTTGTTATACTGAAGTGCTGTTTGGGGCGCCTGGGTGGCTCAGTTGGTTAAGCGTCTGACTTTTGGTTGGGTCATGATCTCGCAGTTCATGAGGTTGAGCCCCGCGTCAGGCTCTCCGCTGTCAGAGAAGCCTGTTTCAGGTCCTCTTGTCTCCTCCTCTCTCTGCCTTTCCCCCTCTGATGTGCTTGTGCGCACCACCGTCTCTCTCTCCCTCTCCTCTCTCAAAAATAAACATTTAAAAACAAATCAATTAGTCAATGAAGTGCTGTCTGGTTTTTCCAAGTGCAAGAATGCTGTGATGTTCCTTAATGAGAAAATACCTGCATTAAATAAACTTCATTGAGGCATGAATTGTGCTGTTGGCCATGGGTTTTCTGTTAATGAATCAGCAATATGTTTGTTGTATTGAGGAGTTAACAAAAATGTGACAAGAGGCTTGTGGGGAACATAATGCTGTTTATTCTCTAGGAGCAATGGTTTAGTGTTCACTAATTCAGTGCTTGCGGTAGCTTTATAATTAATTGACTTTTTGTAACGTGCAATCAAGGAAGCAGAGGCAGAAATGGGTATGCTGGTTGTATTCTAGCAAAAAGAGGTAAAGGACTTTGAGATACTGGAACAAGTTGACTCTTGCCATGTGTATCATTGTGTACTGATACATACATTTTTCTCATAATGGGATGAAGGAATTCAACCCTTCTTTCCCATCTTCCTCTAAGAAGTTTGTCACTTTCTGAAAGTAAGGAACAAAGGAATGCTGTAACTCCCTTTTCTGGTAGGTGAATCTGCTTTCATGAGCGTGCTTTAACCTCATTTACTCTGATTTCCTCTTGATTTCTAAATGTATACTTATATCTTTTTTCAAACAGATAGTGTACCCAATTTCATATTACTCTCCCATTTTCAAGCCTTTTAAATTTCTTTTAAGATATATGTAAGTTTACTTGAGAATATTTCTACCACATCTCAGAATAATTTCTGATAGGGTTGGTGGTAACTGGGATCTTGGAAAATAGGCATGAAGAAAGAAAACTGATACATTATGAACAGAGTTGAATTGGTCATCTGACTTCAGGCTGGTAAATATTCCTCTCATTTCTTTCTCCGGGCAGAGTTGGTAGTAAACAGCAAGTACTGTTTGAGAAAATTTCATCTGTAGTCCTTGATCTTACTTCCCCAGCATTTTGTCATAGTCTGGAGTGCTTCCAGAGCCTGAGGTCAGGGGAGGTGGGTACTGGATGTAGACAGAGGACACACATGCTGTTAAGATTCCTTGACAGCTTCCTGTTGGATGCTTCTCTGTCCTCTGCTGAGGGACTGTCAGAGCTCTGTCCTGGACACTGCTGAGTTAAAGAAATCTGTCTTTTCAGGTGGAGACCATAATCTATTTGTCTGTGTTCCCCTTCCTCATTTCTGAAAGGAAGTCGTTTGTTTGTTTGTTTGTTTGTTTCAGGTGAGCCTTATTTTTGTCTCTAGCCCAGATTCACTTTTTTTTCTGGGTGTGACTCAGCCTAAGAGTTAGGAAAGGAGTCCTGGATCAGTTTATATTCTACCACGATAATACTGGAGCTCAAAGGTTAGGAGATGGAACTGGCATACCCAAATAACTCTATAAATTAGTTCTCCCTGGAACCTTTGTGAGAGAAAACTTGAGCAGTTGTATCTTGGGCAGATGACATAGGTAGGAAGAGGAGAAAGGCACAATCCTCGATTGCTACCTTCACAGATAACCCAGGAGAGGATCGAGAGCAAGCCTTTCTAGGTACCTTTAAATGCATTTGAGCTAAAGACCAAACCCTCCCATCTCAGAAGATGTACAGCTAGTTCTAGAATATATTGGGGAAAAGTGGAAAAAATGAGGGCCCGCATAAACCTTAGTCATTTCTCTGTTGTTGCATGTACGCTTCATTCATTCCACGTGTTTTCCTGGGTTTCTCCTCTGAGGATCCCAATTAAGAGACTCACCTTTTAAATTGCTTCAATGCCAGAGTAAGCCCTAAAAGCAGTAGGAACTCAGATCATAAAAAAAAAAAAAAGAAAATGAAAACATGTAGTTTGTTTTTCCCCTGGGATGATAAGTGAGGTTGCTACAGAGTACAAAATTTCAAATTTCAAATGTGACCTATGAATCCACGTAAAATTTAGGTTTCTGTATTAAAGCTAAATATGCAAATATGATCTAAATGAGACTGTGGCTACAACACATCATCATTACCAACACTTACCTCTTTGTGAACTGATTCTACCAGAACACAGATTACCTGGAAATGCTAGGAATCTACAGAAAATTGAATGAAGTTGTAATAACTGATATTTTCTAATTATTTTTATTATATTTTCTTTTTATATATATCCTGTATTTTATGAAATCAGTATTAAGCTTTGAGACATTTGAATTTGTGTAGTAGTAAAACCATAGATATTTCTGAAATTTTTGGACTTCTGGGTTTAAACAAGTAAAATATGAATTTGTATATATTCATATATATTTTTAATATATTCATGTATATAAATATGCATTTTCACTTACGAACATTTCAGGCAAAACCTAAAGACTTTGGGGGCACGTGGGTGGCACAGTCAGTTGAGCATCTGACCTCGGCTCAGGTCATGATCTTACAGTTCGTGAATTCGAGACCCGCTTGGGGCTCTGGGCTGACAGCTCAGACTGGAGCCTGCTTCGGATTCTGTGTCTCCCTTTTTCTCTCCCCTTCCCCGCTCACATTCTGTCTTTCTCTCTCAAAAATAAACAAACATTTAAAAAAATTTTAAAACCCTTAAAGACCTTGGATTTACATGTATCCTTTGCTGTTTATATGAAATACAAATGTACCCAGTATCTCTCAAAATCTTTTGAAAAATATGAAAAACTGGTATTGGAGTCAAGCTAGTGCTAATTGGGAGCATCCTTTATTTTTTGTCAGGTTTTGTTTTTTCGTAATGTTGATCAGGTAATTTGTTTATCTAATTCTTTTAAGGTTTCTGTACACATATCTATATTTTTAAATTTTGAGTATAACATACAGTGTTCTATTGGTTGCAGGCATACAGTCTAGTGATTCAGCAGTTCTGTACATTTTTCAGTACTCCACATGACAAGTGTATTCTGAATCCAATTGGAAACCTTTAAACCTGTAAACCTTGGTATGATAAAATATAACATTAAGTTGGTCTCTCTGTGTTACAAGATTTATGATACCATAGCTTGCAAAAAGCAAAATACGTTTAAAAAGCTTGAAAAATCAGGGTAGTACTTAGCAAATTTTAAAAATAATGACAGTATATAAAGGTACATTGGTTTTAATATTGCCAGAAATTAAATGATGGGTGAAGAATTAGCTTATTCAGCCAGAGAGTATGCATATGAATCATGTATTTATAATATATTCAGCCCTTAGAGAAGGTAAGTAGATCATAGAATTGTGTAGTGAGGTTGTTATGCAGAATTCTAGAGACAGAGGTTTTGAGTATTTTATATCATTGTCAAAGTACAGTAGACTTTCCTCTGTTCTGGCAGGTGACAGCCACAAAATAAAGCCATCTTGTAAGACCTTTGAACTATCAGCGGCTAGAATGCCGACAAACAAAGCAAACTGGAATGAATGAACCAAACCTCATCAGATAAGGACAGACATTGTCACAGTGAGGCAATGGTGACTTTTGGCTACAGACAGAACATTAGTGGGATGTAGCCTAAAAACAACAGGCATGATGAGAAAATCTTCATTTAGTAATGGCATTACTCTAATGTTACATTGTTATTTTGGAACTCTTATTATTAGGTAAAATATGTAATGTCTATTAGGTAGCTTAAGTTTTCTGTGGATACTGTAAGACATTCCTTTATGGTGCTTATGCAACCAAGAGGAAGATGTTAACTATATTTGTTGGAGATTTGTTTTAAAAATTTATAAGTGAAGTATAGTTGACATAGAGTATCATATTAGTTACATGATATTGCAGCTCAGTGGAGACACAAAGTTTTTTTTAGTTTTTCTTTTAAGATAGCTTCAGGGATTACCCCTGAGTAAGAAATTGGTCCCACAAAGAGAGTCCTGCCTCCCTGCGGTTCTCCATCTCCATACTCAGAAAGCCTACCTTTCATATCTGTTTGACCTAAGACCTTCCACAGTTTCAATTGGGAACTATACATAAAAGCATTTTGATCCTGGTTGATTCCCATCCGTAGGAACCATAAGACCCAGCCAATACCACAAGGGGAGAAACGTTACCAGCTGAGCAATGGCAGCAAAATTCCCATGAATCAGCTAAACCATACAGAGGCCTCGCCTAGTTCTTAGAGCCGTAACTTCTTGCTCTTCTATAACTTGAACGTGAGGGAGATCCTGATATAACTGTCCCAAAGGAATTGCGGAGAGAATCCTGGCCCCTTGTGTTCTACCACAGACTGCCTTCTTGAATGCCCTGTGTTTTGGTAGGTTTTACAAAGTAGTCTCACCTTTAATTACCTAGTCCTATACTGCTGGTTTTGTTTAATAAAATGAGGACTTCAGGGTGTTTGGTAACAAAAGCATTGATGGAAAGACCTGAAATAAAACTAAAAGTACTCCTAGAAAACATCTAGGTGAGTTATTCAGTCTAGGGTAATAGGATATTTCTATCCTAGAAAGTCTTGCTAGACCAGAGGGCCAAGAATTTCATGAAAAAGAGGCCTCCAGGGAAAGTGCCCAATTTCTATCTTTTCCATTTTGAGGAAGTATCACAGGCACGCTTCTCTCCCTTTGCGTCCCTGATAAGGCAATTTACATTTGTTTTGCCTTGGTTGGGAAAGCAGCACTGTATTTAATTTAGCTTTGATTTTTGTCTTCTGGCTAAATTGTAGCTCTCAAGGGAAACTTAAAAATGTATTATGAAATACACCTAACTATATTCCTTTCATTGCAGCTGCATTTCTGCATGTTCCAAACGTAGTACAAATAATTTGAGGAGTTTCTTCTAATTATAACCTCAAGCCTCCTGGATCTTCTGTGAGTGATGCGTGCTTCTGATGGTAAGAAGTATTAAAAATATAAATTCTTTATCTATGAGAGAATGAACAGCTTCATAGTCCATGCTATTTAAAGTTTATCCTATGTGTTGCTACAGGTAAGAAACCCTCATAAAGTTGTATTATAGAAGCTTCAGTTGTGCTTGACTTTTCTAGTAAAACATCTGTTTGGCCATATCCAGCCTGATCACCAGCCTTTTCTGTCATGTATTCTCCAGAATTTTCCTTCTCATCTCGGCTTCCTTTTTTAAATTTTTTTTAATGTTTTATTTATTTCTGAGAGAGAGAGGCAGCGTGAGCAGGGGAGGGTCAGAGAGAGAGAGGGAGACAAAGAATCTGAAGCA